TGTGTGTGTGTGTGTGTGTGTTCTTTAGTGCGGGTGTTTCTATTCGCCAGTCATGCAAGCTTTGATGCTGCAATTTTGCCAGTACGTTCCTTTACCAAGTGTGACTCCAGGAGCGTGTCATCACCTGCCACTCATGTCTACGTTTCAAGTACGAGCGCGTGAAAGTTTCAGCTGGAAAATTGCTGACTCGGGTGCGAAAAAAGTTAGAAAGGTGAAACTTTAGGGTAATGTTTCTTTTTCATGTACTACCAAAAAATTCCAAATTCAGCTCCTTAGAGCCGCCCGTGAGTGGGCGTGTTAAATTTTGGCGGACAAATCGCTAACTGCGAATGAGAAAAGCCGGGAGGCTGGAATTTCAAAGGAATGTCCCCTACTCATGTACAACTGAAAGATTTCAAATTCAACTCTTCTAGCGGGGTTTTTTTCGTGCATCTGCAACGTTCTATTTGACGGGTCACTGAAGCCCATATCTATAACTGACAAGCCGCATAGCTGCACAATTAACTCCCGTAACGTTGAGGGCCAATATGTTGCAACTTCTAGCTATTGTGATTCTTTGCAATCTTGCTACAGCACGAAATAATGCAAAAGTGCATAATCGCACCAGCCCGCTTGGTATGCGTCGCCAATGATTTGGTCAAGCGTTTCCAGCACGCAGACCTACACAAATATGCATATAGATACGTACGCATACATGGATATCCATATTCGTATCTCCCAATTTATGCGTTTATCCTCTGACCACTTGTTGTCCCAAATCTCGTTTCTCGCTTCGATGCAGCAACTGTCAAGCTGTATGAGGCGTTTTAGCTGGAATTTTTCATTTCTTCGGCGGTTGCTTTGCATAGAGCTGAACAGCAGATGTAAAGGAATGTGCACTGGTTGCGCTTTTTAAATATTGCAGAAAGAAAAATATTTATGTAAAACATTTTTTGATGCACATACAGCTCACTTGCTGCATGTGATATGCAGCTCGGTAGCGATGAATATCTTTACTTTGGCAGCTTATCTGCAGGGTGTCAATACAGCGAAAAAAGGGGATGACACTGAAGACTCCGACATAGTTTGTCAGGATGGTGGTCTGGATTGGCAGCTCGATGAAAGCCTTAGCAAATCTCGCGTTTGCTTTGGATTGGGATTGGTATTTGATAACTGTTCATTATTCTCACCAGACACAGCCGTTTTGTCGTAAGCAGAGCAGAATTGTGTGTTATAAGGTGGTCAGCCTGCTTCTGGTGGCGTCCGCTCTGTTTCTATGCTCTTTATTCTTCGAAACAGAAATTTCGTATGTGCTACGACCATCAGTTGCTCTTTCAGTTTGCTTCGAAATGCATATTCCCACCGTTGCTACTTTCAGCAGAGCTCTGCCAAAAATAAGTTGAGAAGAAATTTCAAGATCAGTGTCGGTCTCACATGCAAACCGAGCAGCATGCTGGCCTTTTCAGACTGCACTATGCTATACGGATTGTTAGTAGCGATGGCATTTTCATTACCAGTGTGTAATGCATTTTCGTGGTCTTCACCCGAAGTTTCGGAGAGGAACTTGCATACACATCATTTCTTTACGTTGCCCCGTTAAAGGCTTTTATGATATTTAAAAATTGGAGTGTTTTAGGAGCTGTACAGCAGGATAAGCTTCTTTAATTTAGGCCTTCCGCTAACTCATCCTTGCAGACTTCACACTGCTTTCTTGTGCTTAGTACTCTCTTGTTTGGCATGAAACTTTGAGAAAGGCACTGACTTGGACTTCCTTCTCCAGCGTCCCAAAGCGTAATGGACCTTTTTCTCTATTAGACTACTGCTCTGAACACCTGGTCTCAATAGACACAAAAAATTTATCGCAGCAGCGCCTTTTGGTTCAATGATTCCGCTCAGCAAAAGTGCTCCTTACTGCTTGCTTTTTGCTTCATCTTATTCCAGCATTTTTGGAGGCATTTTTGAAATTCAGTGTAGTTTAAGACCTTGTAGGTACTAGTCCTGATACATACTTTGCCTCTTCGTCCGCAGTTTATCACTTTCAGGAACAATGAGGATAGTCCTGTTGGCACCTGTTTTTTATCAAAGAACTATTGAATGTTTCCTCAATTATTTTAGGCTCAGGATGAATTTAACTGGAATGATGCGGAGAAGTACTGCAACTCAAAGGGAGGTCAATTACCAACGCCGTCACAGGATGAATATGCTCTGCTTGATAGTTTATTACCGGAAAGCAAGCATTAGTACTTGCTCTTTCCTTCACTCTTCTCGAGACTCACCGCCTTTTTGTGGCTTTTTAAGCTTACTTGCTCAAATTGTTAGCATTTCATAACAGTAATTACTTATAGATGGAAGAATAAAAGAGATGATCATACTGATGTCAAGTGACGCGAAACTCTTCAGCAGAAATAATCGAAGAAGTTTTCCTGGCTTCGAATTAGTAGATAATTTCTCGACTGATTCATATTTTCATTTCTAGATGGTCGAGTGCCGCTTGGATTTGTAAACAAGAATGGCAAATGGATGAAAAAGGTTCACGGAGAGCTGGAACCACTCAAAGATGCTCCGACTGATAAAACTGAAACAATGGCTCTCATCCGGAATAGTGGGAAAGTCGGTGCGATTTTTGCCTAACTGCCTTAGAATTTCTTTTTATTCCGCGAAAATCAGTGATTGCTCGAACCGCCACCTAGCACATTTTTTTCGTTGCGTTTTATGAACTTTTGCCTTTCACGCTTATATTTCTTTAGAAAATGATAGTACTTGATTAAACAGTAATCTTTCTTGGTTGCGATTATTCTAAAGAGAGGAGCATCAGAATATTCCGTGCAGTCATGAGCCTTTCTATGAGTGTCAGAAACTCCCTGTAGTGTCAGTCATCCCTTAAGATTTTTACATAGATTTTCTTGTAATTACTCTTAGTATTAATGGACTTGCTGACATCTGTCTGCGGTTCCTTTCATCTGTCTGCGCAGCTGCTGATAACTATACAATTTTCTCAGCAAACGACAATAGAAATGATGCCCTTTTTAGGCTGGAGAGCCATTCCACGTGTCTGAAATTGTTACTGAGCAAATTCAAAACTCTTCACTTGTATGGATGTAATTTTCATTTTTTCGATCTCCACATTAGGGTCGCGTCTCAAGCGCTGTCTTTAAGATGCTTGACTTGGACTGTGTAATCGGCATGCGTTTTTCATTGCATAGGTATTGCTGACAAGACTTACAGAGCAATGAATTATTTCTTCGATTGTCATCTGTTAGATTCCTTTGTCTTAGAATGTGTATGTGTTTGCGTGTGTGCTTTCGCCTACGATGCATTTTTCAAACTGGCTGTGGAGAATGCCTCCTGCTCCTTTGCCTTGAAATAAGAATTTTTACTGTTTAGTATTTGTGTTCAAGGTAGTCTGTGGTTACACTGGTTTCAGTTCAAGGGAGTTTTTGAAATTCAGATTAAATTTCGTAACTATTCTAAAAAAAGGAGCATTAAATTTCGTCCTCAGACTCAAGGAATTAAATTGCCTAAGGTTTTTCCAGTACAAGCTATAGACCTTGTTGTTGCTGATTCTGTTGTAAACTTTGTTCCTAAATGTCTCATATATGATTTGGGGACCTTTTCACTAATTTATCATGTTCAAAATTTTTTTAGTTTGCGAGTTATATCGTTTAACCGAAGTTGAGTTCAAAAGTGAGGGGCCAGAACAGACAGCGTCCTGTTGTTTTCAGGTTTTTCGCCACGCAGACTGTCGGAAACTGCTTTTCCATAATTTCAGTATCCTCGTCCTTGTCGTTACTAATTTCAGCTTTTGTTTTCAGACAAAAAGAAAAACAGAGAAAGATAGATACATTTACTGTCTTTAGTTAATGCGTCTTCCTAAATCATTGGCGCAAAAAACCCTCAAGAAATGTCATGTCAAATGTAAATGGAATTGATAAAGTGAGAACTTTCAGAAAGGAACGGCGCGAAATTTTCCGAAATATTCAAGAATGTAATTTGCGAGCATCGACATTCAGCAAGTAAAGTTAATTCTTGTGTCTGTTGTGCTATCTTTTTTTACAACCATTATTTGCGTTTCATCAGCCAGCTAGGTTTCAATGCCTGAGAGTTAGTTATTCGTTATACCTCAATTGCGCGGTTCATGAGGGAAGGATTAGCGATGGTTTGAGTGCTTACAGTTGTTGCTGAGAAACTGCTGTTTCCTGAATCAAATTTGGGTACTTTTAAATGCGAGAGGACTTATGAATTACGCTTCTGAAAGATAAGTTCTTTTTGGGCAGTTTCTTCGGTAACTTCATTCTTCTATTCTTATTCTTTGCGTTGCAGAAGCATAGAAGTCTTGAGTAAAATTAGATTTCTATGGTTGTTTTTAGCAAATTACGTGAAACAACAACCAGTTAAATTTTTCTTCAGGCCATTTCTACGAAAACAAGGAGTGTGATTTTGGCGCATTCATGAAAGTGGTCAATAACGTCTCAGCGTGTTATCTCTTCCATGAGTTTGAGGATCCTAAGAAAGTTTGTTTTGTCCACGCATCATGTTTGTTCTTATTTCTGGCTCAGTTTGTTAAACAGATCTACTACTGGCAGCGCTGCTCCTTTAACTCTTGCGAATAGTGCAATGAGTTAGATGTTGTAACGAGTCAAAGGAATTTAATCAACGGGTTAAAAAAGCGCACTGGGAACTAAAGTCTTGGTTTGAAGTTCTGTCGCCAGGAATGTGAGCAACTGTAATAGGCGGATCGTTCCACAGGAAGATGAATGTCCAGGCGAGTGTCGCTCAATAAGAGTGCAATAACAGTTTCGTACTATAAGTGACCCTGAACTGAAGTAGCCAAGGATAAGTGAGCATGGCAAAGCTTTAAACAGTTTGTGGATGCCTTCTAACTGGCTGTTATATCGCAAGGCTCCTCCTTATGAAATTGGCTCTAGTGAGTTGTAGAAGAAACATGATCGCAAATGCACCGATTGTTTCCTGAAAATGCCATTCCTGCAAAAGTGAGGAACAATGCATTCACCACCAGTACCAGAGGATATCACTGAAGATGGAAAATTTCCTCCTGTAGCTACAGGAGCTACTCTGCAGGAGCTCAGCGTTATTCCACAGAAGCGGGGATGTCTGTAAATACTGTAGCCAATTTTCGAGCAATTTCAGTGATTCTCATTGTAATGTTGTGAACAGAAGATTGTACCAGAAAAAAGAACAGGATCAATCTGGAGAAGATGAGGCGTAACAGATACAAAAAGGGAAACGTTTAGAAGGTAACAAGCAATAATCAGCGGACACTGGCAAAACTGTACTTCCAAAAATACGAAAGGTTCCACTTGAATACCCACGCGAAGTTGTGCGGGTGCAACGAGTAGGCTTGAGTTACGGCGCAACGAAGCGGTTGTTGGCTAGAGCGACAGCAGGAACAGTGGGACAGTGTATCAGGAGTCATTTAGTTTATCAATGTCATGTGGCAATCCCGGATTTCCCACATCTCTAAGATACAACTAGATTTTTAGGAAATTTCACTGCGGTAAGAACATCGGAGCACAATTGCATATTCTTCAGCTTAGCTTCTCAAAAATTCCGTCTCGAAATTACTATATTTTAGGAAGCGAATGGCTTCGCTGCAGTGGAAACATTCTGCAAATCAAAAGGCGGTAAAATATTCGAACCGGCAGACCCTGGAGAAATTAAAATGACTCACCGTAATGTTTTTTATGCATTTTTTTGCAACTATGCAATGCAAAAACGTATATTGTTGAAGGGCTATGTACGCACGTGTGTGTGTATGTGTCAGTGCGTGACATCCGTCTGGGCTTTTCGACCTCGGGACCAACGAAAGCTTAGGGCTGAAATCTTGGCAACTTAGTCTTCACCCATGCACGTGTCCTTAGACATAGAATGACTTCCACTCTCTTCTGGTACTCAGTTGTGGACAAGTGAAATATTTTTTGCTGGGAAAGTGATTTTGGAAATCAGGCCTAGATAGGGTAGAAGGCTGAAACTTATGAATATGTTCTTTGTCCAAGTGTGACTCATAGATTTCAAATTCAGCCTTCACGCATCTCCAGATCTCACGTACTTATGGACCAAAGTTTAGATTGGCCACCACACCAACTCAGAAATTGAACTGAACAGATAGCGGTAATTTGATAAAGTTTTTTACCGCCCACTGATATGCTTGTGAAAATAAGTTGAGCTTTCGCACTTTAATGCATATCACTATAAACACGTGAAATTTGGCGCAAACAATTTCGCAACTTCAAAACTGGAACAGCTATAAGGCTGAAATTTTTTGAACATAACGGACCACTGTGTTCGGGTATGTTAACAGGAAAACAATTTTCATGTTTCTTTCATGTCTTGCGTACGTCTCACACATGAATAGTGAAAACCTTACATAACTCCGCAAACGAAGTAGCTAGAATGCTGGAATTTCCTGAGCATGGCCCAGCTCAATGATCGGGCAGTACACGCAAAAACAATATTCACTTTCCTCTTCACGCGCGAATACGTAGGACTTAAAGTAATCCCGCAACCAAGACAGCCAGGGTGTGGAATTTCCCAAATATGGCCCACGGTCGAGTTTGAGCAGTCGCGTTTAAAAGGAACATCCACGTTTCCCATCCACATACGAACACATGGAATTTGACGCAACTTCTTAACATAGATGGCTAGATTGTCAAAACTTTGTGACCATGACCCAAGACCACATTTGAGCAGGCACTTACAAAAACAGTATTTACGGTTTTTTTGCACACAAAGCGTGAAATTTGATGTAGCTTCGCAAACGAAGCATTTAGAATGCTGAATTCCTTGAGCATGGTCGTGATCGTGTTTGTTGAGAATCACTGTGATAATTTATGGCACCCTGGTGGTCCGTATCAATTCGTTTAGCTAGAAGCACCTTCAGGAAAAACCGGTGCTATTAGTGACAAACATCTGCTGAGAGAAAAAGTGTGCAAAAAACGCACTGTCGCACCGGAAATCGGTGCGGTGGCAAATAGGTTATTGCTTTACTCGAAATTATAAGACTGTTTACCAATTCTCAGTGCAGTTTCGTCTGCCACTGATCATCTGATTTGCTGACTGTGGAAGGAAACTGAAAGCCATTTGAAAACCTTCCTACAAACTAAATGACTACTGAACCGAATTAAAACCATCAGTATTGCAGTCCTGTGCACTCTTTCGTCAATTTTACTGTCTTTCCATTTCCTTCTAAATTTTTACTAAAAGTAATCGAAGCGCCTTTACAACTTAAGGTTTGTAAAGAAAAAGTGGATTTTCAATGTGAGATTCAGTGTAGTATGAATGAAACATATTTGTTTTCATTAAATCATAGCTTCTCAGTAAGAAGCAGGAAGATGTTGCTTGCTATGCTAACAGCCAGTGAGCCTTGAGTATCAGCGAATGACAGTCGTGAGGAAAAAAACATGATTACTTAATCCATCGGAGAAAAAATGGCATGCGCACCGAATAGAGACGACGAGAGACATGACTATAATGGATGAACGCAACCGCCGTATGGGAGCCATCCGTAAACAAACGTACCTTTCCAGTCGTGATGGATTGATGAAAATGCAGGAGGTGTCTGTAACGAACATAGCGGCTACCCGTTGAGCATCAGCAGCAGGGCCAAAGTTTGT